TACATTCAATATACGAGACCTGTTATTCAGTTTCATTTGAGATACACTATAGTTTCATTACAATACAACTAAAGTATTATTTTGATATAACTACAGTTTTATTAATTTGACAATATAAACTCAATATATGAAACCTATTATTCAGTTTCATTTTATATATACTGTAGTTTCCTTACAACACAACTAAAGTATCATTTTGATATACCTAATGTTTTATTTGACAATATAAACTCAATATATGAGACATATTATTCAGGTTCATTTTATATACACTGTAGTTTCATTACAATACAACTAAAGTATCATTTTAATTCAACTACAGTTTCATTTGACAATGTACACTTAATATATGAGACATGATACTCCGTTTCATTTTGGATACACTATAATTTCATTACATCACAACTAAAGTATCATTCTAATTCAACTATAGTTTCATTTGACAATGTACACTCAATATGTGAGACAAATTATTCAGTTTCATTTTAAAAACATTGTAATTTTATTTTATTTTAAGCACATCATAAAAAGGGATGTCAATTGTACCCGCACCCGACGGGGAACCCGATTCCCCGCCCCTATGGGAACGGGGATGGGAATAGAAATAGGGGATCGGGGATGGGGATGGGGGCAATTTTGAATTTCCCGCCGGGGACGGGGACGGGGATGGGGAGTACTCTCCCCGTCCCCGATATGATGTATGTATGTATGTATGGGGAGTACACACACATATGTATTACTTTGTATACAATATATATAATTTTAGAAGCATTCTTGTCATTGTTTGTCATGCTTATGAAATGCATATTTAAATAACATGTTTAATTGTAAAATATTGAATACTATTTTAAATTGGGGATGAATATATATACGTTATTTATTTAAATGTTTATGAATGTTTAATTTTTAATTTTTCTTTATAACTTATTAATGGGGTGGGGATTCCCCGTCCTCGAATAATTCCCGTGGGGATGGGGATGGGGGGAGTTTTCCATTCCCCGGCGGGGATGGGGACGGGGACGGGGAATGGGAAAAAAGTCGGGGGCGGGGATGGGGGGGTATGTGCCCCGCCCCGTTGACATTCCTAATCATAAATACGTGATTAATAACGGCTGCCATTTCCGTTTCTTTTTACTTAACAAAACGACGATATTTTTTGACATGGTCCACCATATAACAATTGGTGAAAACATGTGATGACTAATTTGATAGATCTACAATTGAAGATTGCTGAAAAATATGGGAAAAAGGAGTACGGTCATTTTTGTAAATATTATAAATTTGAAAATTTTTAATAACTATAAAATTAACGTCATATTTTTTTTTTCAAAAAAACTCTAACCATTGATTAACCGTGATGACGGCCCGGATCACAATTGTTGTCATTTAAAACCACCCATACAAATACAAATTTTGTTTTCAACCAGGCAAAAAAAATATAAAAGACAAAAATGTCTTGTCTAAAATAAAGTTTCACCAAAATATTTATCGGAATGATCAAAAGTGTCCAAAAAATGATAATCTAAGATGTTAAATAACAAAAACGATAATATGTGATGTGATTAAATTTGAAATTGACACCAATAATGGTCTAGGGACCTCCATTTGGATTTAACTATATTTATTTGTTAGTTTTAATAATGAGTCTTGAATTCTTGATTGAATTGGTTGATGAGATTTTTAAATTTATTTAGAATTTTTTAATTGTGATAAATTAATATTTTATCTCTAACTTACTTTTTAACTTAATTCGCTTTTCTCACTTTTTTTTTAAAAAAAAATAAAAATAAAATCTGTATAATAAATATATCATTAAAAATTCTAAATAAGATCAGATCTTTTAAATGACATTAATATTGATAATTTTTTTTTTTAAGTTTAATTAACCTACAATTACATTAATTCACTATTGCAATTACAATTTCATTACTTTCTAAACTGCTCTGACGCACACTCTTGGTGGGACATATGTTGCTAAAAATCAGGTGTTTCACTCACGTATGAAGCACCTCGCATTGGATTATTATTATTATTATTATTATTATTTGTGCATGAGAGGGTCTTGGATGGTAGATTACAAGTTGCTCATATTAGCTCGTCAAATCAAGTTGTGGATGTTCTTAACATGGCTCTTTCTCGGAGGCCTTTTTTTCATTTTCTATCCAAGATTGGAGTATTCGATGGATCTTCCATCTTGTGGGAATGTATTAAAGAATAAGTATTGTGTTTGTATTTGTATTCTCCTTTATTTGAGGCTTGCATTTTTAACATGCAGATAGCTAGTATTTCTCTGCCGCCCTCCTATATAATATTTGATGTTTGTTAATGAAAAATCCATTCCATTCTTACTTATTGTCAAGTCAGTCCGCGCACTCAGTTTCGAACTAATCCTATAGATAAGTTTATTGGGTCAACCCATTAATTTTGGACTAAGATTAACATCCCTGATTATTATATTGTATGTAATTTAATCATTTATATATTGTTCCGAAGATTGCCAATCAGCCCTTCACTGTTGTTTGAGGACATGCGTATTCTCAGTTTTGTAAGAGTATAAAAAAGACACTTTCAACCTAGTATACGAATGAGCTTGTCTCATCAAGGTAAGATTTGAAGTGTGGTGAAAATTATGTATACGAAATTAGAAAGGTAATTGATACTAACAAGGTAAATATATGTGGGTTAGGTTATAAAGAGAAATTAGGAAATGAGTGTAAAATTTAAAAAAATTAAATAAACAAACTCACGCAATTTAACTACAAGTTAACTAATAAGCCATATGCCCATATTTGACAACATTTAAAATGATCAAGGGGCTAAATTTTTAAAAATTGACAATTATTATGTGCTAAATTCATAATAGATAAAAAAAATTGAGGAGCTAAGAACTTGGATCGCAGACTGTTTCACAAATTTGAAACTGAATTCGTTAGATGAATTTAACACTTCTTTAATATCATTGAAAAATTGATCAAACGTAGTCAAGACTAACTTTAGTTGAAAAGTCTTGCACACTACCTAAGTATATGTTTTCCACCTGTCGTTTATTGACAATATATTAATTGAGCTGAGATGCAGATGCTCTTTTATATTGTCATCTTTGTCACTCAGGATGAAGTTCACAGACGCCATGACCAAATTATATGTTTCACACTTGTGAAGAAAAGAACTCGCCAAAATAAACGAGAGGAAAACAAACTCCCCAAAAGAAACGAGAGGAAAACAAACTCGTCACACAAACAAGAGAAAAACACAGAAAAAATCAGAACACAAAAGAAAAGAGAAGCAGCAGTACACCTCTTTAACCTCTTGAACTTTATTTTATGGATCCATGGGAATCAAACCACTTCTTTATCCAGATCTGGCGGAATCTTTAAGCTTTAGATCTTTGAAACTACCGCAACTTCCTTGAAGAGTTGGTGGTTGAACCGACACTGGACTTTATTATGAAACTAAAAAAAAAAAAAAAAAAAAAAAAAAAACCGCCTACCAAGAAACGAAGCTCCGTCAAAGGCTCAAAGCTTCGGCCAAAGACCGGCTGTCACCATGAAGAAACGCCCAAAAAAAAAAAAGCAAGATTTCGTGAGTCAGAAAGTGCAAATTACATTGTTTATAAGAAAATAAATGCAGCTGATATGACTTTATTGCACTTTGACTTTGTCTTAAGCGAGCATAAATAACAAAAAAAAAAAAAAAAAAGAGTTAATACCACAAATGGTCCTTTAACTATTGGGGTAGTACTCCTTTTAGTCCTCAACTTTCAATTCGACCAAAACGCATACCTTGACTTTTATTTTTGACCACAAATAGTCCCCCGTTAGTCTTTCAGTTAAGTGAGTGTTAAATTTAAGGGTGTTATCGTCAAATTAAAAAAAAAAAAAAGAGCTAATACTACAAATGGTCATCTGATTATTGTGGTAGGACTCCTTTTAGTCCTCAACTTTCAATTCGATCAAAACACATACCTCGACTTTTATTTTTGACCACAAATAGTCCTCCGTTAGTCTTTCTGTTATATGAGTGTTAAATTTATGGGTATTATTGTCAAATCAAAGAAATAAATAAAATAATTAACAACAAGTCCATTTAAAACAGCAAAGGAAAAAAGTATCACTACAATCGTGGATGCAAGGCAAAACAAATGGAGCCGAGATGCCATGAATTGGGCAGTCAAGCATATCATGAAACCAAAGGTTATGCGGGTTGTTCTTATTCAATAGAGATATACCTAAGTCAAGACCAACAGACCATAATTAAATCTCAGTAGAACAACCGAATATTTTTAAACTCGCAGAAGACTTAACGTACAAGAACTATTAGAGAACGTCTATTGATTACTACCTTATATCTATTTTTTTTAAAAGCAATTGAACACAGTAATCAAGCTAGATACATAAAATCTTGCATTGGCATCATAATATAAAGTCAATTTTTTTTTTTTTTTTAAAAAGCGATGGCTTACGCAAAAATGTATGGTGGTTTAACAACCATCCAAGATATGCAACACATCTTGTTAATGTATTATTCCAAATTCATGTATTGGCATTATTATTATTATTATTATTATTATTATTATTATTATTATTATTATTATTATTGTTAACTATTTTATTTTTTCTTTGATTTGACGATACTACCCTTAAATTTATCACTCACTTAATGGAAAGACTAACGGACGGCTATTTGTGGTAAAAAATAAAAGTCAAGGTATGTGTTTTAGTCGAATTGAAAGTTGAGAACTAAAAGGAGTACTACCTCAGTAGTCAGAGGACCATTTGTAGTATTAACCTAACTCAAAAAAAAAAAAAAAAAAAAACCATCAAAGTGGTAACCAACATTATTCCTATAAAGAGTCTAACTAGAAATTTTGTCCCAAATCAACTTAGAGGTTATCTTTTTATGAAATCCTAATATTTGGGAGTTATTGTGTTGAACAATTTTGTTCAAGTTAATTCCTTTGTGTTATATTAAAATCGGGTTGTTAAATGACTCGATACACATATGCAAAAATAATGTTCACATATCTTATTCATGTGCATTTCAAATTTGTAAGCATCAATTGATCTAACTAGGATATCTTTTACTAAGTTTTTTTCATATTGAGTTTGAATAAATCTAAATTATACATTCAACGAGGACTCAATGTCGTAATAGTAACTTCATTTAGGGAACTTTTTGCATGTGTGCTTGAAGGATATTCCTTGCCAAAAAAGAATCCAGGCTTTTTAGCTTGAGGCAATGCAAAATCATTAACCAACATTTGAACAACAGAAGACATGTCTGGTCTATCCTCGGGAGATTGTTGCACACATAGAAGGCCGACATGGATTGACCTTAGAACTTGAGTTACATCATATGAACCCGCTATATGCTTATCAACCAATGCAATTGATTTTCCTTCTCTATAAAGCTTCCATGCCTATATAGTATTTAAAATCATATAAAGAAAAATGAAATATTCTAGACAGAAAAGAATGAATTAAGAAACATACAAAATGGAACACTTACATGTTCAGGAAGAGTCACGTATTGATCTTCATTGATAAACTCATTATTTCTCATACCACTGACTATTTCAAGTACTAAAATGCCAAAGCTAAACACATCTGATTTAACAGAAAAGATTCCATGCCCGGCATATTCTGGAGACATATACCCACTATATTGTATAGGTGATACCAAATGAGTTGATGAGATGAAACAAACAAATTCAATAGATGTGTAGTAGAAGATCTTAAATGAAATTTAAATTCTTACCGTGTTCTAGCAACTCGTTTTGTGTTATCTCCAGTTGCATTTCCTAGTATACTCCTAGCCAAGCCAAAGTCTGATATCTTTGGGTTCAAATCAGTATCAAGCAAAATATTGCTAGCTTTGAGATCTCTATGAATTATTCTTAGTCGAGAATCTTGATGGAGATATAATAACCCTCGCGCAACTCCATTAATTATGTTGAAGCGTTTAGACCAATCAATCAACTTTTTCTTTGTTTGATCTACAAAAGGTTTTCCTTAGTTTTTTTTTTTTTTTTTTTTTCCAAAGATTTATAATATAGATTTGGTTATATAGAGGAGAAGATAACTATACCAAATATGAAAAAGTCCAAACTTTTGTTAGGCATGTATTCGTAGATCAACATCTTTTCTTCACTGCTAATGCAACATCCTAGAAGCTTGACAAGATTCCGATGTTGTAATTTGGCGATACAAATAACTTCATTCTTGAATTCCTCAAGTCCTTGATTGGAATTCTTTGATAGCCTCTTCACAGCTATTTCTTCTCCCCCATCAAATACACCCTAGGCAATTAAAATAAATAAAATAAGAATATGTGGATGCATGCAGCATGCTCATCATATCCAAGAAAGATGCATATACTTTTACCTTGTACACGACTCCAAAACCACCTTGACCTAATTTGTTCATTTCTGAGAAGTTATTTGTAGCTCTTGATATTGTTGACCAATCGAATATTGGTAGCTCTAGTTCTTGCTTCAACTTTTGTTCTTTCCTTTTTCTTTTGCAGAAATACAAGAAAATATACACCCCAGCAAGAACTATTACAAGCAGCAGCGACAAACAAAGCACAATGATTTTTATTTTCCTCCCCAATGAGCTTGAATGATGTGGTTCTGCTTTTAACCCTGTTGTTCCAAAAGACTTCGCTTATTTTTTTATTTTTATTTTAGTGATACGAAAAACCAACAGTCACTATCTAAAAATTTTATATTGAGTAAGCTTCACTTTGTAATCTTAGCCAGCAAAGACCACAGAGAGGTAAACCAGCCTAGATTATTCATAACTAATCGGCTCAAAGAGATCAATAGACCGCTCCCACTGGGAGTTAAACTTGAAAGCGTGTAGTTACCAAACCAAGAGTCGACCCCAACTTCTCTTATTCCTACTTTATTGTGAGGCTGTCAAAGTGATAATAAACACATTAAGTATACCTGGTATTTCAGAAGAAGCCAGTCTGATATACATGTCTTGCCCATTCTGTATTGTTCTTATATCAACCAAATCACCATACCAAATCAAACACCCACTTCCTCCATTGCTTATATTGAGAGTGGAATAAGCCATACAAGAGCAATTCATTAAGCAAACTTGTTCACACTCTTGAAGGCTCATAGATTCATTATACCAAGACTGCTTTGTATCTGGTAATTTCATACCAGAATATCTGAGGAATCCATCTGATGAAGATCCATTATGGTGGCAATTCATCAGGGGTTTTCTCCTATGGCATCCTCGCCACAAACTTTCTGCCGCATTATTATTTGGCAAAAATCTGTCCAAAAATCTGTCAAAATGTGTTGACGAGAGGAGTGTCTCTGTTTGCGACCCAAACCACTGTCTGAACAGGAAGAATTTGTTTGTACCAGATTCCTACATAAGTGTTGTTTGAGGAATTGGTGGGGCTAAAAAACCCCATTTCAAAGGTTCCACCGTCTGAAATGATGGTGTCCCCGTCTCTAAGGAATTGGGTTTTAGTAATTAAATCCTTTCCCAAGCAAATATTTGATATTGAAAGTAAGAAAGACGACGACAAAAGCAAAAGGAGTAAAAGAGCTTCCATGGCTACTGAAAGAGTGAGTGGCAGATGGAGAAATTTCTACAGTACAGTAGCCGAAAATGAAGATCAGACAACCAAAGACTGCGGGTGAATGCTGGCACCTTTCCGTCAAAATAACGTGTCTTGACTTCACTCTGTAACTTCAATGTGCGATGAAATTTCTAACCAACACGCTAGGCCATAAGAGCATCCATAATAATTGTTGTTTTTTTATTTTTTTTTGGTTTTTAGAAAGTTTTTGTAAGTGCGGGAAAAAAAATATGGGAGAAAAAAGAAATTAAAATTGATTTTAAAAAATATAATAATAATAATAATAATAATAATAATAATAATAATAATAGTGTCAAACCGCGTTGCTCGCGCCCGTTGGACGCACTTGTGTCATTATTTTCATCTCTTGCAGATGAACTTTTTGTTTCTCTTTCTTGGCCTCTCTCTTTCTGCTAATTTGACTTTTTTTTCTTAAAATTTATGCTTTATTCACTGATGTGGATGACCAAACAGCCATTCATCGAATCCCTGTCACTCACCTGCTAAACCCATTCTTCTTTGAGTCATTGAATGAGTTGTTGACCCATTACCACCCTCTTAGCACCTCTACCGATATCCAAACTCTAAAGTCTATCGTTTGAAAAGATTTTTTGATTCTTCAATTAATCAAGAATTTCCCTTTCAATTAATTAAGAATTTCCCAACCAACATCAGACCTTGTATCTAAGGTTTGTGTGTGTGTGTTTTTAAAATAAGAATGTATGAATAAAATGTCACTCTATATAACCATGTATGCATGTTTGAAAACTCATGTACACTAACCAATTGGGCTACTCCAACTTCTTGATATATATGGAAGGTTAAAGTGAAAATAGGCAAATTTTATTGTGGACCATGGTCCAAAATCGTACCTTTTTTTAATGAAAAAAAAATGGTACCCGTTCAATTATCCTGTCCAACTAATTATTTTTTATGGCATATTCAGTTTCATTTTATATATATTGTAGTTTCATTACAGCACAACTAAAGTATCATTTTGATTTAAGTTCAGTTTCATTTGACATTATACACTCAATATGTGAGACTTGTTATTAAATTTCATTTTATACACGCTGTAGTTTATTATAACACCACTAAAATATAATTATAATTCAAGTATGGTTTCATTGGACAATATACACTTAAATATGTGAAACATGTTATTCAGTTTCATTTTATATACGTTGTAATTTTATTACAACATAATTAAAGTATCATTTTGATATAAATACAGTTTCATTTGACAATATACTGTCAATATGGGAAACACGTTATTCAATTTCATTTTATATATATTGTAGTTTCATTATGACACAACTAAACTATCATTTTATTCAATTAAAATTTTGTTTGACAATAATATACATTCAATATACGAGACCTGTTATTCAGTTTCATTTGAGATACACTATAGTTTCATTACAATACAACTAAAGTATTATTTTGATATAACTACAGTTTTATTAATTTGACAATATAAACTCAATATATGAAACATATTATTCATTTTCATTTTATACACACTGTAGTTTCATTACAATACAACTAGAGTATCATTTTGATATAACTACAGTTTTATTTGACAATATAAACTCAATATGTGAAACATATTATTCAGTTTCATTTTATACACACTGTAGTTTCATTACAATACAACTAAAATATCATTTTAATTCAACTACAGTTTCATTTGACAATGTTCCATCAATATATGAAACCTGTTACTCTGTTTATTTTGGATATAATTTCATTATATCACAACTAAAGTATAAATCTAATTCAACTATAGTTTCATTTGACAATATACACTCAATATGTGAGACAAATTATTCAGATTCATTTTAGATACACTATAGTTTCATTTTATTCTAAGCACATCATAAATGCGTGATTAGTAATGACTAATGTTTCTGTTTCTTTTTTACTTAACAAAACAACGACATTTTTTGATATGGTCCACCATATAACAATTGGTGAAAAGTGAAAACATGTGATGACTAATTTGGTCTATCTATTTGGGTAGATTTACAATTGAAGATTGCTGAAAAATATGGAGAAAAGGAGTATGGTTATTTTTGTAAATATTGTAAACTTGAAAACTTGTAATAATTATAAAATTGACATCATAATTTTTTTTCATAAAGCCTCACCCATTGATTAACCGTGACGCCCACCGGCCTGCCAAGCCCGCCAAAACATGAGCCCAAAATATCAAAGCCCGCCTCGCCCTTTTCGCGGGGCGGGCTAAGCCTGTTTTGACGGCTCTGCACACAGCTATGTGGATTATACTATCAAATAATATACATTCAGAATACAAATAATATACTTTTAATATATTTAAAATGTACAATGTATTAAGGGAAAGTACATTATTTAAGGGAAAGTACAAAATAATGTAATTTCAATACTTAAATAATATACTTTAAATATATTACATCTGCATGCCGGCGAAGCTCAGTAGCCTAAAATGAAAGCCCGAGTGGAACAGGCGGGATTCTTGGGTCGGGCGACTACTACGGGGTGGTGATGGATTATAATCTAGAGAGAAGAGTGCCAGTTTTCGAGCGTGACGAGCACGACGGCAGGCGCGTTTGGAGCATGGACTATTCCCATTCAGACCCCATTGTCGATGCATCTGGCTCTGACGACGACACCATGCAAACATGGGACCCGCACTGCCAGAATGGCAAGTGTCTCGCGACGGTGCAGCCTAGAAATGGGAAAAAAAAAGATGCAAAAAGACTAAAATACCCCCATTATTTTAACTATTAAAAATTTTCGGCAAAATTTGACCTGTAATTTGGCCAGAGTGACCAAAATTGGTATAAATTACATAGTCAAGGTTCTAAATTAACACTTTTGAAAGTCGTGGACTGCAATCAATAAGACCCCTATAGTCGTAGGACCAAAATTGAAATTTACTCTTAAAAATGTGATTTTTGTTATGATCCACACAAAAGAGATGACAATTCAACCCCCCCCCCCCCCCCCCCCAACAGAAAAAAATTGATCCCTACCCTGACGTGGACAGGTTCGTGGAACGGGGGATAGGCCAGGATGGGGAGAATTTCACCATCCCTGCCTGGCACGGGAAGGCGGAGACGGGAAGGGCATTCCCCTTCCCGACCTCGGCCTCAATCCCCAATCCTTGATTTCCTTAACTTGGTATTCAAATTGGTAATTAATTAATTAATGAATAGGTGAAATTACATCACAACCTCTAACCTATTTAGCTTCAGTGCATAACACTACAAAATCCCTCATAAATCTGATCCGTTAAAAAAAAAAATAATAATCAGAATCTAATCTCGCATCTCACCTAATTGGGGACTTGGGGTGATCTTATATATATATAATATTAAACAAAATATTCATAATCCTTATTCAGTTATTCCTAACTATAGAGGGGATGTTTGGTTGGATGGAAGTCAAATTCCTTGGATAATATTTTCTTAAAAGTGTAGGAAAATGTTGTTTGGTTTGATGGAAAATATTTTCCATTAAAATTTGAGTTCCTAAAGTTGAAGGAAAATAAAATCCTAGCAAGACATTGGTATTTTGTTTTCCAAAGAATTTGAGAAGAAAGTATAACAATTTTAGACTATTTTACCCTCATCAAAATTTATTAATTACACATGTATATATTATTGTTAAGAGTAAATTGATTTTTATATTCATAATTCCTTATCATTCCAAATTCAACCAAACAATAAAATTCATTTCCCATCAAATATTTTCCGGCTAACCAAACGGGCTGTAATTGTCATCTGCGATTCGTCCCTCAGCCATCTCTAATTCTCAAGTCTCAATCTCTCATCTCCCATCCCTGAGACCCTCGCCGGCTCACCGGTCAGTCCCAGCCTCCCTCAGGACCTTCACCGGCACCATCCTCCATCCCAGATTCCCTCTGCGACTCTGCCACTCAGTCGTCTCTGCCTCTCTGTCGGCTGCCGTCGCTGTCTCTCTGGTCGTCCTGGTTTGCCGGCCGTCGCTGTCTCTAGCTCCAGGTAAACAATAGTAATTAATTTTGATTAATATTTAGTAATTAGTAATTAGTTTTGAAGTATTTAGTAATTAGTAATAGTAATTAGTTGTTGAATTTTGATTAACTGAGATCTAGAAACATTTTGGATACCCTTTTCTTTGAGGTTGTAGATCAGAATTCACATAGGAATTGGACCAGTATAAGCCATTTATGGTTTCAAATGATATGGATGAATGGATGATGCCACATTGAATTTTTCCAAGTCTTTTAGGGCAGACTAACACTTGGTTAATAAAGTCAAGCTGTCTTAACTGATTTGTTTATGTAAACTATTCCCTGATTTGTTTATGAACTGTATAGTCTTTTTTTTTCCCCTCATTAGCATCATTCAAAAAAACGGGGCAGGGATTCCTCGTCCCTGAAGAATCCCCGCTGGGGGATGGGAATGGGGGCCTATTTCGGGGATGGGGACCCCACTCCCCGCCACGCCCCATTGCCATCCCTATCACAGAGCAGTGTGCACCACCCTCAAGTTGAGTATCAAAACTTGCAGGCACCGAGGCCCATAATTCATTAATTGTAACATCTTTGATGGGCAAAATTGCTGGCTTTTAGCCACCACCGCCGTGAGAAGAGCCAGTGTCGGCAGTTGCCGGAAAGCTGAGGCCAAAGTAGCGGAAATATTTCTCAAGTAACTTTCTAAATGGCTTTTCATTCCATGATTTCAAAGTAAAATATTTCTGGAACTGTATATTTGCTTAATCTTCTTATACGGAGAATTATTGATTTTACTCTTTTTTGATGCGTTGAAACATTGCCGCTGTGGTTCAGTTTCCTGCAAAAATTTTCTTGGTGATTTCTTTATGTTTTCTTCCCATGGTGCCCTTCGATTCATGAAAAAGCTTCGTGCTTTTCTGGGTATTCCTGCCAGTAGCGCCACTTCAGGGTCTAGGAGGATTTTCTCCAATTACTTGCATTGCCTTAAAGAATCGAAAGGGAGGAGACCCAATCGGCTAGTTAATCGACATGTAAATAAATCTTGGAAGAAGTTAGTCAAAAAACATGTTGAAAATGTGGAGACTACTAATGTTTACATGAGGGATTTAGTCACAAAAATATCAAATATATTGAGATATTCAACTTGGGATTCTGCTCAAGTGCAGTTGGAGAATCTTTCAGTAAAATGGGATTCGTATACCGTCAATCAGGTTCTCAAGACCCATCCCCCAATGGAGAAGGCCTGGCTGTTTTTCAACTGGGCAGCTAAGGTTAGAGGATTTAAGCATGACCAGTATACCTACACAACCATGTTGGATATATTCGGTGAAGCGAGGAGGATTTCGTCAATGATGTTTGTTTTTAAGCAAATGCAAGAAAAAGGGATCGAGATTGATGTGGTTACCTATACTTCTCTTCTGCATTGGCTCTCCAACGATGGGGATGTTGAAGGGGCAGTTAGGCTTTGGCACGAGATGAGAGCGAAAGGTTGCTCTCCTACCGTGGTTTCCTACACTGCTTACATGAAGGTTTTGTTTGATCACAATCGTGTTAACGAGGGTGCTGAGGTGTACAAGGAGATGCTCGAATCCGGTTGTTATCCCAATTGCCACACATACACAGTCCTTATGGAGCATCTCGCTGATATGGGTGAGAGTGCTTTGTTTCTCGCTAATTGTTTCTTTAAGAACTAATGTAATTATTTCTTCATTTTTTTGTTGAGTACTATGACTCTGTTACAATGTAGTATCTGTTCATAACTACTTTCTCAGCCTACTGAAGCACAAAGAGCCAATAGCCCGCCTCCACTGAGGCTCGAACCCACAACCTCCCACATAGGGGAGCAACTTGGTGCTAGTAGACCACAAGGTCCTTGGCTAATTATTTCTTCATTGATAGTTAGACGTCTCAATTAGGGTCCTATGTTATTCAATTGGCTTACCGGACTGAACTTCTCTTTATTGGTTTTCTTGCAAGTTTTCAATATTGGAAGTATTTTCCTATGCTTTACTGGATCTTCTACTCTTGCATAACATAGGTTTTTTCTTCTTATTCCAGGGAAGTTTGATAAAGTTGAAGAGATCTTTTGTAAAATGCAAGAAGCCGGGGTTAAACCAGACAAAGCTACATGTAATATTTTGATTGAGAAATGCTGCAAAGCAAATGGAACAAGGACAATGATGAAAATTCTTGACTACATGAAGGAAAATTTTCTTGTCCTGCGATATTCAGTGTATAAGGAGGCCCTTGAAACCTTAAATAGTTTAGGGGTGAGTGACGTGCTTCTCAAACAGGTTAACCGTCACTTTTCATCAGATTATAGCAATGAGGTGCAGACATATAGGTCTGGTTCAACTGATATGGATAGCCACTTCAATCTAGAAGAAAAACTTGTTATATATTTATTGAATAAGCAAAATCTGATAGCCATTGATTACCTGATAGCTGATTTGATGGGGAAATGCATTGGTTTAGATTCTGGAATCATCTCAAGTGTTGTTGAGGCAAATAGTAACTGTGGGAGACAAGGCGGGGCTTTATTAGCATTTGATTTCAGCAAAAAGCTAGGCATAAACGTCGAAAGAACTACATATCTCACTTTAATTGGCGAACTTGTCAGAACACATTCTTTTCAGAGGGTAGTCGAGATTGTTGAAGCAATGGTAGGTGCAGGACTTACTCCGGGTTCGCAACTTAGTGCGCTTCTAATACATCGGCTTGGCTGCTCAAATGACCATGTTTCTGCCGAGAAGGTGTTTTGTCTCTTACCTTACGAAGAGAAAGGCGTTGTTGTCTACACTGGCTTAATCAGTGCTTACTTCTCGTCTGCTAATGCTGACAAAGGACTTGAATTGTTTGAAAAGATGAAAAGGCAAGGGATGAATGTTTCGTTAGGAACTTACTTTGTCCTATTAAATGGTCTTGAAAGAAATGGCAGAGTTGGTGAACTAGAATGTTACAGAAAGGAGAAGAAAATTCTTGAAGCTGAATACCACAAGAAAGAGCTAACGGTGGAGGAAAGACTGTGCGATGTTCTTTTCAGTGGTTTCAGACTGTAGAATGGTTTATTGACATGGATTCTGGAAAACTTGTGATGGAAATGGTCGTCCTTTGAGTATTACCATTTCTCTGTCAGATTCTATATATTCTCTGCCATAAATGTTTCTGCTTTGGAAGACATTCCTAATACTGATGGAATTCATGCATAACTGAATCAACAAATGTTATCTTCAAGAACTGCAAAATTGGAACAGGTACCCCCACAAATTATCTTCTATGTTCATTTATATTTTAAAATGAGTGGATTTTCATATTCCTGAATTCATTAGTTCCTCTTATTCCGTAAAAAAAAAAAAAAATCAAACAAACAAACTCATTAAAAAATCATTACAGAGGTTTGTGTGTGTGTGTATAAGATTTTAGGTTTTTTTCTGTTCCAATAATGTAATGTTCATTGTTATATGAAAGTTTTTATCATGAATGTCATGATTTTAATGTTTTTTTTAATCTTAATTTTATTCATAATTTTATAATTAGATTGGAATCATGGAATGCTGAATTGCTTAATAATACAGATATACATGGTTGACTAAGCCCACAAATATGAAGAGCTCACTACATCTTGTACAAGCATGCACACAAGACACTGAACAAGGACTTTTCACTTTACACCTACTTAAAGGTGTAAATTGTGGGTAACAGATGAGTTAAGCATGTAAATCCGAGATGAGAGGAAGACAAAATCATGATCCATCAACAAAGGAGTTCTTCTCTTATGCTCAAGTGGTAAATCACCTGATCTTAAGTCACCACTCGAGCGGCAGGGTGGGGGTTTAACTCCTACCAACATCTTGGAGCTAGGACTCTCCAAGTTAGAGTTTTGGCTCCCTAAATTGGCGGAAGTGTGGAGATGGATCCCTTGTGCGCAGAGTCAACATCAGGTACTAACTGAGAGACTCGCGATTTACATATGACTCTCGAGCAAGGGGATTTACATGTAACTCTTGAGCAAGGGTTCTAGAGGCTTAAGATTAGTCTAGCGTAAGTTGGGAAACCTAATTTCTGTACTTGATATCGCTTACCTCAGGCTGCAACATTTGTATCAATATGTACTCCATTTCCATTCTAGTGAGAATGATCAGTTCCCTTTATTGTACTTTTTTTTTTTTTTTTTTTTTTTTTTGGGTGGCCAGAGAAATCTGCAGTTATTATTTGAAGGTATATATTTGATAAACCTTGTTATTGTGTAATGGTCCACAAATCACACAAAATAAATATGTTGCACTAGAAAGATTTTGTGCAACAGGCTCAACTAAAAAATATTTTGATAAGAATCAGACTCGTCACTTTTAAATACAAGAATTGTGTTCCACGCATTTGATCACCATTTTCGGGGCTAGGATGATGTTTACTTAATAGAGCCAATACTTTATTGCATTGAAGGAGTTGTAATCTTGGGAATAAAAGCCATGTCAGCCAATACGTTAAAACATAGAAATTGAATAATATTTAAGAGACCAAAAAGTGATTAACCAACTCAAATGGTATCTTCTTGCTGTCTTTGATGCTTAAATTAAGGATCATCCTAATAATCCGACAAACTAAGGCCTCAACTTTCTATTTAAGTGTTAGAAATAAAATATATAACTTTGTATCTTCCCAATAATACTGCTAATTACTTATCAAAGATGGAAACACTTCAAAAACAAACCAAAATTATATATTTTTTGGTACTTAAAATTCTTTTGAAATTGAGCTATTGTGCACTCTAATTTAAAGAAGCTTACCAATACATGTTATTTCATTCATAAGATTTGTCTATAAAATTACACAAAGAAAACTCAAAATAACATAGAATTTGATTATTCACATAAAAGTTCAAGGTAGGAATCAATTCATAGATTGGGTTTGGGATGACTAATGCAGGGGCTTTGTGTGTGATCCGCAGAAATAGGTGTTTGGTTATAGTTCAAAGGAGTAAATAATACATTCTCTCGGTCAAGACATGCCCATGGTGTTCTTAATGCGATTTAACTCTCTTATGTAATTTACGAGGTATACTCAGTGCATGGATAGTGCTACGAATTTTTCTCATCAGATCATCCAAAAGAAGGAAATAATAAGATTATTATGGTTATTTAAAGGGAAAGTGATCATTTTTCTTCCCCTACAATCAGGGACTGAGCCAGAAATTTGGCTGAGGGGGGCGCAGAAGTAGGGACAGATTCAGAAAAATTTTCTAGTAAGGCGAAATATTAAAACAAAAGAGATAATTTAAAAAATAAATTAATTAATTACCTAAGAAATATAGTTGTAAATATTGTTGGATATGGGCGAAAAATAAAACACATCGAAACTTTATAAAAATATTCATAACAAAATATGAAACATAATTAATTTGATAAAATAATTTGAATAGAAAACACATTATAAATTACACATCTCATTATATATGTATTAAATATTAAAAAAGTTATTAAAAACGTGATTGTGTTGAAGCCATAGGGGGGGGGGGGGGGGGAGGGGGGGAAGGAGTAAAAAAAAACTGTAAAACTATGTTGATGCCAAGGATTTGAACCCTCAACTTTTACTATTGCTAAACATGTGTTTAGCCAACTAAAACTCATTTCTTATTAATATTAATAATTTTTTTTATATTAATACTAAATCATGAACTATATATACATATATACATACAAAGATTATATATGAGGTGGGGTGGGGCGGGGTGATGGGGCAGCAACCCCCTGCCCCCCTTTGGCTCCGTCCTTGCCTACAATTTTATCTGCATCCACTATTTCCCACTCAATTATCTTTTAAGTGGTTATTTTATTCAAACCCGTTAACTATTCACTATAGACCTCCAAAATCCTAAAAAATGATGGGTTTTATCTAAGAAATATTACCTTAGCTAAAATTTTCAATGTTATCATTCTTCTAACACAAGCAAAATAGACAAGATAATTTCTCTCCGTTCTCATTTATGGACATGGAATTAAGATTTAAAAAATGAGAATTGGGATAAATTATTTTCTCCATTTCATATGTTTAAGTTAAATGAACAATGACATTATTAGAAGATTTAGCTAATATTCCTAAAATATAATCAATTCTTTTAGGGTACTGGATGTCAACAATAAACACCTAATGGCTTTTAGGTAAAATAATCTACTTCGAGAAAAATTGAAAGGAATAATAATTGAGGAGAAAATAAACTATATCAATATAAAAAGTGTCATTTCCCTTATTTAAATTCTTTTGACATTTGAAAGTCCTTGTGGTCGAACGACATAATTGTGGCTGTCACAGATTCGAATTTCAGTGGGGACATTGACTCTTTGTGTTTCAATAAGAGCATCCACATTGGTTGGGGAGAATTGGGGGATAATGTAAGAGTGATTAGGAAAGAGAAGATGGGATGGGAAAGAAAAAAGAAAGAAAAAAAAATAAAACTAAATTTTTTTTTTTAAAAAAAATAAATAAATAAAAAGGACGCGTCAGGCGCGCTGACTCGTCACACGGGCGCGTGCAGTGTGTTTCCACAGGCTGTGCGCGAACGCACACAGCCGTATTGCTTCTTCTTTTTCTCTTTTTTGTATTTCTGACATTCTCCCCACATTTGCAGTAATATTATTTCTCAAATAACCTACACCCACATCAGCTATTAACTTGGATGAGGAGAATTAATACTGAAATAACTCCAAATAAACCACAAGTGTGGATGCTCTAAGTTGATAAGAAAGTATGTATGGATAGATACTGCATTGTACCAAAGTCAATAGTACTCAAAAAAAAACACACACACATGTTGGATAAAAGACAAGATTCATAAATATTAAAAAGATAAATTAAAAAAATAGGACCTGAAATGATCTTCAGTCGGAGATGGAGTTCACGGGAGCCATCATTTATGGTTCACGAGAGCATTGCTACACAAGAAGACGACATAGAAGGTCCTACTCCTCTTCATTCTTCCACATGCCCAAATCATTTATTAATTCATGCAAACAAATCCTCTTAATAAGGGGTGTAAATTAAATGAAGTAAAATTTCATCAACATATTATTTGTCTTTGTCTAATTACATAAATTAAATCAAAAGATTTTAGTTTTCTTTTATGAATAAATTGATTCCAAAAAAAAAAAAAAAATCATTAGTCCACTTAATTAGACTTTGGCCCTGTTTGGTAAATTAAAATAGCTAGTCTATCAACTAATTTTGACCTGTTTGACCATTATTAGCTGTTTGGCTTGATTAAACAACCAAGTGTTTGATTAATTAGCTTTTATAATAACTTATTGCTCCAAAATACTAAAATTCAAAAAGTTGTTCAAAGCAGTTTTTTTATCAGCTTTTCGAAAAAGTCATTTTGTATGTAATCAGCTATCAGCTAAGCTAATTTATCCAACATTTTTCTACAATCAGCTAATGTTATCAACTATTCAAACCCACTAACTCAACTAGGCAACTAACAGCTATTTACCAAACACCATTTATATGATTTAGATGACGTTTGTAATTTCCTTGTAGAGTATGTCAACTTTAGTTTCTACTCTTTGACTATTGCATTTATAAAAAAAAAATTGTTGTCCATAATTATTGAAAATGTGTTATCTTTCAGTTATTTTTAATACTAAAAATTAAACTACATACTTTTAATAATCGGGGAACAAAATCTGATTGATTTTGTACTTGAAAATCAAAATTAGAAAACATAATAGAAAAAAAAAAGTGATGTTGGAATTATGATGCATCACATTAAAAAATAATTAACGAACAAAATATATAGTATTAGTCATCAAAAAATAAGTGTACAGGTTTTGGCTGCAGTAAACTTTAAGAATGGGTACGTACGTCAGTATGTGGTACGGTATGCATGTGAATATATGTTTTTTTTTTTTTTTTTTTTGAAACCGCATGAGAATATATGTTATTATTGTTTAATAAAAGAAGTATATCAGATGCATTTACAAGAATGTCCAAATTAGCTAGCGTAACATACACATTTACACACAAGCATATACTTGCCCAAATAATCCCACTACCATTAATTTATAAACATTAAAAAAAAAAAAAAAAAACAGGTGGTCATTGATTGACACTAACAATCAAAAATAAAATAAAAAATTTAAAAATATTTTTTTACAAAATAAAATAAAATAAAATTGTACCCGTACTATTTTACAGAAATAATAAAAAATGTAAAAATAAAAAACTATATAATTAAAATTCACGTACACATTAGGACATCATGTGTTTACCAGGTCAGTGTCACATTAACGATAACTTGCTGAATATGTAATAGCAAAATATATACACACTATTTTGACGTTTTAAGAGATCTTATTGAAAAGTTTTTAAATTAATGGATCTAATCGCACTATTCGTTAGAGATAGATGCCAATTTAACATTTTTTAAACAATTTAAGACCGTTGAGGTTTTTTTTTCTTAATAATTTCTCCGTATAAAATTAGTGAGCTTAATGTGAGTATATAGCCATTAATGTGTATCTAACTATGAGCTTAAGTTTTTAGTTGAGATGGAGCACATGCTATAATTTGGTATCAGAGTACTCGTAAGCGACTATGGTTTACGGGACAGTAAACCGTTCCAACTAACCAGTTTTGGAAATGGAGGTAAAAAGACATAAAGGGCTAAGGTTAAACACAATAAGATGGTCGAGTAGATGTTAACAGTTATGAAGTTTGGCCTATTGCGCAGGGACGACAAAACACAATAAAACCATGGGCGTTGCCTTTCTTCCTCGACTCTTTCGCCAAAAAAGCTATATATACATGCCACTGCGTGGATCGCACCCCACAATAAATTACTTGTAATGTTCTCGTGACAAAAAGGTAGAATTACTCATTTTAGATCCGATTAATGATGTGTTTAGTAAATAACTATTAGCTGATTGAGTTAATATTAACTAATTATAGAAAGATGTTTGGTAATTACTAGTTGCATAAAATAGAAATAAAAATTAAAAATATAATATAATATTAATAGTATATATATAAAAAATTATACTTGATATACTGCTAGACATCAAGCAAAGCAAAGAGTTATTATTTGCAATAGCAATTTGAGACTGCAAACAACAAGGTACTACTGTTTGTAGCCCTAAATTGTTGTAACGAACAATAGTTTTCTATTCGTAGTAATATGT